CCTGCCATTGTGGGAGGAAACAAAAGGCACAAAACTGAATTATGGATGGAGCATCTGCATAAAGTTTGAATTTTATTGGTCCATGTGTTTTAAGCCTATTCTTTACCTTTCCAACAAACAAACAAACCCAACCTTTTCCAGAAAGTTTTATCCTCTTGTATTATTAATGCTTTTTGTTGGGCAGCTTTGGAGTGGGATGTGTGTTACACTTACCCCCTTACCTGAGAGAGTGTAGTAACTTATACTTAAAATAGAAGGATCTTAGATACCATAGCATGACTACTGTTGGTAAATATCTTTAATGGTTACCTGTTTTCAAAGCCATTTTGTTCTAGGCAATTTAGTAATAGGGTAGAAAATAGCCTGTAATAATTCATGGACACGTTCTATGAATATACAGCATTAGATCTTTATGTTTAAAATAGCAATTACTATAAATCTCAACCTACTTTCAACGCTGCCTGCCACACATACAATGGAGAACAAGGAAACTAGAAGTGGATAATTATAACAAACTCTTCCCTTGTATTAGAAAAAGACAAAGGAAACAGGTTAAAAAATCTTCAACCATGTTATGGACTCATCACTTGCTGAAATTTTTAAACCAACATTTTGCATAGGAACAAAAACTATTAAGGATGTTTCTTGACGGACAATCAAAAAGGGTAAGCTTGTTGAATCAGATCTTAATGTGTATGAAGTCCTTTGCATGCTCATTAAGGTGCTGGCTATCCTGTCTAAAGCAGTGTTAGCCGGGATGGAGGGCAGCTTAAGCTCTGACACGGCTGGCTAACATGGCTTCAAACATGTTATCCTAACTATACTCCAGCCTTTGTGTCCCTCTGAGCAGAACATAAAACATCCAGTTAAACACGGCCAGAATGATTCTCCTGCTCCCCACCAAAAAGCTCAGGGCAAAGTCTAAACTCTCAAAGTTTGTTCCCTACAGAGAATGACAACTCTGCCACATACCACTTAGTAAGACTGACTTGTATAGCATCATATGTGTGCACAGCACTTTACAGAACATTTTAAGACTTAAGGATCCAGCCTGAAGGAGTTATATCGACTATCGGACAAATATGAAACACAAGATGGGTGTTGCGGGGTGAGATGGTGCAGAGACTGAGTGATCGATGTCGAAAAGCTTGGTGTAGAGGGAGGCTGTCACAAGGCTTGAACAAAGGACAAAAGCTAGGGCTTCCTAGAATTAAGGCTCAAGTTCTGCCCTTCACTCAGGTGTCAGTTTGCTACTGCAGCCCTCACTGAGGTGCTGCTTAGATGCCCTATGTGCTCCAGTTGTTAGGCAGGGTGAGTTACATATAGTTTCATTCAGATCTTCAGTATTAATTTAATACCCAACCTGTGTGAGAGAATTTCCTTTGGCCCTTCAGCTTATAGAGAGAAATTTTGCCAATGTATAAAAGTTGACACCATACACAGTCATTACAATCTCATCCAAATGGACAGAGAGGTAGTTAAACATGTGGGTGCTTACCAGATAGAGTGTAAAAGCTTTTGGCAGGGGGCATTGATTATATATGTGTAGCAGCAGTTATCCTGCATTTGGGAGTTGGAGGGAGAAACTGACAAAATATTTTTTCTGGCAGTGTGGAGTAATGAGGAAAGACAACCTTTAGCTATCAGCCCTGGCTGCAAAGTTTCATAGCAGAGTTTAATTTGATCCGTGCTATAGAGGTATATGGTGGATACTTTCATTACAGTTTAGGCATTCTACTTGTGACTGTTAATGTCCTGGGAAAGGGTTCAAATTACATTAAGTAGTTGTGATATCACATTAAGTAGTGCTGTGATATCATTCTAGTGTAATGTTCTTATTTCTGTGCTGAGCAGCCCTTTGTAATATGCAGACTTTCACAGTCACTAACTGCAGCAGCAGCCTCTCATAGATTTATGGCCTTGGGTGTTTGCTGTATGTGTAAAGTGGCTTCTCACTCTTGAACGAGTATCCTACTTCATTTTTTGTTTAAAGCTATAATCTCAGGGTGCTCAAGAAAGGAGCCTGAGACAGAGGAGCACATCAAAACTTTTGCCCTTCTCTGTATCTCCCTTGCACTGCTATTTTCATATGATTCAGACAGGAAGTTGATAACATTCTGCTTCATCTAAGGGTGAGAGAAAACCAAGTTACAACAGCAAGGAGGTCCCAATTTATTTTTTCAAATATAGCATTGATCTGGTTGGCTGTACTTGGAAGGGGCTAGTCTGGTAGCTAAGAATTACTGAAGCAGCCTTCCCCTCTTCTCTTGTTGATGTCCTGGGGCAGGGGAAGTGGTTAGGAAGCAAAGAGTGGCCCTATACCTGCTAGGGATTCCCAGCTGAACAGCAAAGCTGATTTTTTTTTCCTACCTGCTTTTTGAAACCTGAGTAGCACAAGCCAGGTAGAACAGGGCCAGAATGCAGGCACGAGTGTCCAACAGATTTTGGGTTTTTTTAAAGGCAGCTCTCCATCCCCATAAATTGTGGGTGCAAATCATGGTCCGTGCAGACAGTAGCCTGATTCTGGGAGGTTTGTGGAAGGTGGGGCATTAAAGAAAAGAAAAACAAGTTTGAATGAGCAATATGCTGGTGCAGGCTCCCAGCAGGACTTTGCTAAAATTCTGCCACCAAAGTTGACAGGAGGGCTAAAGGTTCAAGCTTCTCTAAATTTGAGGGCTAGAAACTTCGATGTGAGAATCTTTGCTTTAATTTAATCACAATACTCTGAGCTGGAGCTTTAAGGAAAACTAAATATTGCTAGAGTTAGTAAACTGAATGTCACTCTCACTGTTAACAGAGTCATATCCAGCAGCGACATGGCCTCTTGGCTCAAGCTGGAGCACTGAATGCTGAGACTTGTAGTCTCTAAAGGCCACATCTTTCCTTTAGAGAGGAGATGGCATCCTGTGTGGGTGCTAGCCAAGCTGACAGGGTAGCATTTAGACAAAGTTTGATTAGACCTAGGTTTAACCCAGCTACTTTTGTTTTTTTGGCCTAGATACACTTGGTTATTTTTAAGCAAACTGCAATAAAATATTAGTGATATCAAATGCTTTCTTGAAGCTAATATATCCAAAACACAAGTTTGCAGGTATATAATTATACCCGGGCACTTTAACTTTGACAAAGAAAAATTATTTTGTTCAAAAATGCAGCCTTTGCACAAAAGTTCCATAAAAGGTTTTTGGCCTTAATCCAGCTGCCCCACAAATTGTTATAATCAATTAATAAAAAGGTTTGCTCAGTAAGCAGTAATGACTTCCCAGCAGCCCTTACAGGCCAGAGGATCAAAAACTCAAAGTGCATATGTACTTGACCCAGTAATATTCCTGTTCATAAATAAGTGTCTTCAACCAGTATACAACAAAACAAAAAATATTTACGCTAGATCACATTTGGAAAAGCAGGACCTCCCTCAAAGAAAGTTATTAATCTGATCTTTTGTAGCTAATGAAGTTATAAATTAAATATGCACCACAGCAATCTTAGAGTTTTATGGTGGCACCTATCTCGGATTACTTGAATACCTACTTATGCAAACAAATCCAAAAACACATTAACACGGGGTAATTTTCACCCTCCCTTCTATGATATTTTTTCAATAGTGGTCCTTGACACAGGGCCACTTTTTTTTGCTTGTGACAAACAAGAGTTTCAGTTCTGTCTGTATTTCACACTGAAGTGAGTAACACACTGCCAGCCTGTGGTTTTTGGTAATTGTCATTTTCTATTGCTAAAGCCCAAAAGGTGCAACCAAGGACATCTTGTAATTACCTAAATCAAATTTAGATAGGGACAGCACTGAATTGTGCCAGAACTAGCATGGGTAAAAAAGTACTACATTACTTGCAATTGCAGCTGCACTCTAAATGTTACAAATGTAAGCCTAGCAGCCTTCATAAAAACTGTAGGTATGACACAGCAATTTCTGTCAGTACAGCACAGTAAATTGCTTATTAAATCAAGCTTCCTCAAAGAGGAACTATGTTATAATCAATGTATAAAAGAAGATTTGCACAGTAAGCAGTAATGACTTTGTAGCTCTGGCTACCATTCAAAGTAATACAGTAAAAGGCGTGACATCATTTAATTGCACCAAATAAGACTGCTTTTTTTTCCTCTCCCATCCTAGAGATTTTTTTTTTAAATGCTTGTGAAAGGTGCTGAATTGACAACACTGGAGAATGAAGTCCTCTGTTTATCCAGAGGCATGCTAGCTTGCCTTGTACTGGAAGACCTACCTCTAGTGGTAGAAGGGCAGCTTGAACTTAAACCCTCGTTCTGTGCTGAACATGCCAGTTGTGTCCATAGGGAGTGGACAGAAAGCTCTCTCATGGCACATACACCAAGGAGCTGTCAAACCTTTTAGCCGCTATTGCTCAGATTGGAACTAGTGAAATCTAGGTGTAAGTGTGTTCTTACCTACCAAGTTTTAAAAACAAAAACCAGTTTTGTTAAATGGATCAATCGTACCTGTCTGTCGTTAACACAAAAAGATTATCCAACTAGACAGTATTTACCAAACAGGCATAACTACAGTCAGTGAATGCATTCTGCTTTCACCACAGGATGTGACAAACCCCGATGAAGTATTAAATACTAAAAGCAATTTGTGAACAGCAGATACTTTGAAGGAATGTATCTAAGTGTACTAAAAGAAGGGCAACCTTTTTAATAAGAAAGAACAACCTTCTTTGGGTCTGATTTTCCTCATCTCCACCAGTGTAACAGATCAGAATCAGGTCTTGATTTTTGTTCCAGATCTTTCCAATTTGAAAGCAGCAGCATATTAAACAGCCTTCGGATAAAGGATTATTAATTTGAGGCTCTAATAATGAAACAACTGTTTTCATGCTCAATTACATGTAGTTTGCTCTGCACATTGAAGGTAGGAATAATCAACATCATAGTTCGTTTTTTCTCAGGATGCTGGAGGTTATGGTTCTGTAATTCAGTCCTCGCTGAAACCCTGCCTATGATATCTCAGACCGGAAGTCATATAATGTATATTGAATCTTTATTTGGACAGTTTAGAGTTTGAGTATAAACCGACCAGACTTATACAAAGGAAATAGCAAATATATCAAAAATTGACAAATCACTTGCCAATTTACAAGTCCACAATAGGGTCTCTCCTTTTAGATAGATGACAGATGGTTTTCCTTTGTTTAAAGCATACCTTATGCACATACAGTGTAATGACTTGTCAGTAAGAATTCCTCTGCCCGCTGTAGGGTTTTTAAAGCTCACTAATTTGGTAGGCTGGAGTAACTCCTCCGGAACCATTACAGTTTACTGGGTCCAAACCCCAAAACTTACAGATCTAGTTTGCAGAGTCCACGTTTTTAAGGTCTCCATCTACCTTTGTCTTCAGAACAGACTATTGTAATGAATAAGCACATTTAAAAACAAAAAAGACCATTTAAAATGAAACCACTCCTAAACAGTTCACAAAAAAGAGTTAATGGTCTGATTTTAACTAAAAGGCAAGGAAAGGGAGAATTACCAAACAAATTCACCCCATTAACAATTTTTAAAAATGTGGATAGTTTTTTGGGAGTAAATCCCCACTTGGTTATGACTCATTGAAGTTTGCTTATTTTATTATTACATGTATTTAGTCCATTTTAAAGCACTCACATCAGCTTCTTGCTAGAAGGTAGTGGCTATGCTTTGATGACATGAGAATAGATTAGATCAGTGTTTACAGCATTCAGCAGCCACTGACCCAGCCCAGATTAGGCTGGAGCACTGCAGTAAGTGATCTCTCTCTTCCCCTCACAGCTAATTTATAAGAGAACAGGCATGAACCACAGTTCTAAGGTGAGGGGTGTGAGTGAAGAACCTACCAGCTGCTAGGAGAAGGAAAGGGGCCTGAGGCTGGTGGTTGGCCCTGGCTCCAGCAGCACTGGAATCAGTAGAAGAATTCTCCCCTTCCTAAATTAAATGAGTTAAACAAAAGGCAATCGAATGGGGGGTGAGCGGAGCAGCAGCAAGGAGGCTAGAGTGTGATTTGGTGGAATTGCATCTGACAGGCAAAGAGTTGCACGGAACAGGAGCAACAGAGAAGAAAGTGACCTGGAGGGATGCACGGGCCTAAGCACAAAGGGTTGAGAGGCAGCAGCCAGGGCTGTGAGGGAGGGAAGCTGGTGTTCAGACACCACAGAATTGAGTACATTACAAATACCTAGACAGACGAGTGATGGCAGGTCTAGGGAAGTATTTGCATGTGGCAATCTGTGCAGATCCACTTTAGGACTTTTAGTGTCTCCTACAGACAGGACTTAATGCAGTCAGGCACTACTATACCTCTCCCTGCTATGGATGATGGGTGCACTTTTCCAAGCACTTATGGGTATCTCTACACTGGAATAAAAGATGGTGGCTGGCCTGGGCCAGCTGACACAGGCTCGTGGGGCTAAAAATTGTTGCATGGACATTCAGGCTCTCAGAGTGGAGCATGGACTCTGTGACCCTCCCAGCGCCACCCCCCACCATGGTCTCAGAGCTGAAGCCCAAACCTCTACACAGCAACTTTATAAGCCTGCAGCCCAAGCCCCACAAGCCCAGCCCAGCTGCAGGTGTTTAACTACTGTATAGCCATACCCCCCATGTGACCAAGGACCATTGAAAGTTAATGGGACTTCAGTTCCTAAGTCACTTAGGTACTTTACAAAATTTAACCTGATCTTTCTCCTTATAGGCTTTTCATTTACATTCCTTAAGTGAAGATAATATGCTTGAAATTGGGGAAGTTATAAAATGGGGCTTTTCAGTATTGGGGAATTACAACCAGCAGCATAACAAAAACTGCTTTAATATCATTCTTACCTCCGGTTTCCAGTGCTTTGGGATTGTTTTAGTTTCCTCGTAGTAGAAAGGGGAAGTATTAAGGCTTTCATGAACTGAGCCCCCCATTCATGTATAGCACTGGAAGCACAATTATGCCACTAAAAGTAAGACTAAATGCTGCAGTGATGCACCAATTCATCATGTTTGGGTTCTTCTAATGAACCTCATTACTCACAGAAGAGAATTTTCTTAAGCTGTTAATCACTAGCAACCGTTTTCAATTATCCCTGTTACTTTTTCCTCTCCAACTACTGAACATTCCTCCTCCCTCCCCATTACCCCAAAAGTGCAATATTAGGAAAAGCTAGCGCATAACTTAAAAAATAAATAACCAGTGTTCAAAATGACCTTTAAAAAAAAATTAAGAACACCTTTTCAGAGGCAAGCTGTCCTTTTTCATAAAAAGCAGTACTTAACAAAAATAGATCAGAGTTGCCCTTTTAACACTACTGAAAGATACTGAATACTTTTCTTCAGCTTATCAATAGAAGAACACAAATTTTTTAGAGCTTGCATAGAAACACTTTGTACTTTGTGCAAATTTTACTAAATAAGGCTTGCTTGAGATTTTAGATAGCAATATAATATTTATCAAATTATGCTGAGAAACTGCAAGGAAAATTCCAAGCAGTCTGCACTCTGCATCCACTTACACATTTCATTTGACTTCAAAAGACCAACAGCTGATAGCTGCAGATTTGTATGCAACATAAGGCAATACGGTATGTGTTGGGTACAGCACCTGCTTTCAGCTAGTCATGCATTTATAACACATGAGAACACTTGGATTCACAACCTCAGCCATTGGTAAAGGGGATTTCAGAGGTGGCACTGTAGACTCCCCTTTTAAAAATAAAGCAATCAACCCCCTAAAAATCTTGGTCCTTAACACAGAAGGCTTATTTGACCAATTTTGTGCAGTTTTCATATATATATTTACATATCAGGTATTTCTCCCACTAGGCAACCCAATTTTCTCGGCCAGAATTGAAAACAGGAGCAGTGAGGTAAAGGAAGTTGTGTATATGCACAAGGGAAGAGGGGTACATATTCGAAATGACAGAACCCCTCAGAAATATATCATATGAGTATGTTGCACAGTTGGAAGTCATAAGGCCTAATATAAAGGTACCATGGAATGAGATTTTTTCCCAGATCAAGTATTATCAGGAAGTATCAAAGTAGAACTTTCTTTTGTAAGCAGCTTTGCATTTAAAAATCTGCTAATTCTATTAGGAAAAAAAAATCTGTAAAAATGACACTAATAATAATCCTCAACATCACCCAGTATTTTGTAACCCAGGATGGAATGTTCCTGTGCAAGAGCTGCTAGCTCCTTCAGAAACTCTGGGAAAAGGGCAGCTGCCAGCACGCTATTCCTCACAGGCAAGGGAATACCAGGAAGAGCCGTTACTCTCTTTGCTCTGTGTCCCAAGAAAGGCTGGAGCAGGGTTTGGGAAGCTTCAGAAAGATTTCTTCCTTTCCCTGTGCTGCTGTTGTGCTGGATGTTCTCTAAAGCCAGGAAGAAAAAAAGAATCAGTTTTGACCAGTAAGCAAACCTAATTTAAACTGCATGCTCGAGGATGTATTCACTCTATGACTGGTATCAAATGCAATGTTTTTACACACCGTGTGGCCCAAATTCTATTCTCTCCCTCCCAAAAAAGAATGATCAAGGCTCAGATAGGCATGTGGGGTTATTCCCCACCCCCACTCCCCATGTGCTCCCTTTTTTCCCTTAGCAATCTAGTAGCTGAGAGCTGCCAGTGGGAAGAAACAACATGGAAGTGAAGGCAGAGTAATGGAAAGGAACATATATGAAGGTACCCTTAAAAAGGGAAATCACAGTTATTTGCATTTTATGCGTGGAAAAAAATTTCCCGAAGTATAATTTAAAATAATACAGCCTTGCACTAGTCTACTCTCCTGCTTACCTGGCATTAGTATTTATGTATGTTTTGGATAGACAAAATATATTTTTCCCCATCACCACCCTGGAAAGGCAGGTAAGTGGAGTTATGGGCCTGGGCAGGTAAATTTTCATGACAACTCTTCAAAGCTCAAACACATTATTTAAGAAATACTATATGAAGTTTCAGTTTTTTCTACCGCTGTCCCTCTCGGAGCTTTCCCCTTGGAGGTTACCATCTTCCTGTGAACAGGCAGGAAATAATTTTTAAAAATAAATGAGAACACCACACATTCTCCAGACACCTATATGGTCTGCCCTCACAGAGCTCATCCCAGGATTGGGACCAAGAGTAGTCTCTTATTCAAAGTAAGTAACGCAAAATTTTTAAATGTAGTAAACTAAAAAGGCAGCAGCACTTTAATTTCAGCCCCAGTTGGAACCACATTTTAATTAAGTGACATTCAATGAAACTGAAAGGCCACAAACTCAAAACGTGTAAAAAGTACTTTATTTTTTACACCATAAATAATTAGCCTGTGGAATTCATGCCACAAAATGTTACTGAGGTTAAGAGCTTAACAGGATTCAAAATGTAATTAGTCATTTACGTGACCACTAAGAATGTCCACTGTTATATGAGACTGCATTAAAAAAAAAAAATGTAAGGATTAAACCTACATGCTTCAGGGCATAAACTAACCACTAACTGATATGGTTAGGAGGAAACTTCCCTTAAAGTATGAGCAGGTTATTCTATAATTTTCCACTATTGGGTTATTTGCACCTTCCTCTGAAGGATTTGGTGCCAGCCAACTAGTGTTAGAGACAGGATATGGGATTAGATGGACCACTAGTCTGATGCATGGCAGTTCCTATGTTCTATATTTCTCCATCCTTGTTTCCCCTTCCTCAGTTTATGGACATTAGTGTATATCCTTCCGATACTTGGATAAAGTTTTCATCCCTTAGCAATAATTTGGTAAAGCTATACTTTTTTTAGATCTAGTTAATCATAACTCTCACCCTCCAGACTCTTTAGTCACTTGTGTCACTTTAGTCACTTGTGTTGTTCTCTGGTTTTCTCCCAACTAGGGCTGGTCGGGAACCAGAAGTTCTGTTCTATAGGAAACTCCAACATTTTTTGAGGGGGAGGGAGTTATGAAGTGGAACAAAAAACAAGCATTTTGAGATTGCCTGCAAAATAGAAATTCAGAGAGGTCATCTCAATAGCCATCAAAATGTTTTAGTTTGACTTTTATATTATATTAAAACGAACTATTTTTATATGCATATTAAATATATTTAATATTTACATATAATTAAAAGTAAAAAGCCTAAACATTTTGATTTTTTTCCTATTGAATAATTTCATCCAAATATACCATTCCTGCAAAATATTTCAATGCTCTCAATTTCCATTTTTCTGGAATTCAGGTGTACAGTTCTGTGCACAATATAGAATCTTACAGCACAGAGACTGAAAAGGTCTAATATTCCAGATGTGTTTTTACCAGGGACACAGGTAGAGCATGTGTGTCACTTACCTGGTTTATAACCTGATGCCTCTACATATGCAATCTCAAATCAAATAGACTTTTCCCTTCACCATATACTATTTCAGTATAAGCAGAGATGTAAGTTTTCCATCATTCCTAGAACTCTTACAGCATTATTGCAATCCAAGTATATCCCCTCTCTTGAACACCTATGTTTTGAATTAGTTTTCACCGATGGGATCAGTTTCTGTTTTTCAATTTTAAATCCTGTAGGAAGTCAACTATATTCAATAATGTAGGAAGAATCAGGAAAGATTGTTGTGCTTGCAGTTATACATCACTTTCACTTTTCAACTTGAAAAGGGAATCTAGGAGAAAGTTTCGTTCCAGAATACTGGATTTTCATTTTAGCTTCCTGAAATAATCTCGTAAAGTCCAACCATATTTTATTTGCCAATACTGTAACAGTTTCAACCTTACATTTCTTAATCAATATAATGATGTGGTGTGTTGATGTACTTGGGAGGCAACTTGCCCCAAGAATTACTGTTTGATTGCTGGCATTGCTAGGTTGGCTAAGAGCCAAAACTGCAGTTATCCAGATATTTATTTAGTCTCTAAGCATTAGTCAAGAGGCTCGTTCTTTACAGGGGCTGCCACAGGGCAGGAGAAAATGTTACAGGCAAATGACCGAGCAGCCTCTGCTTCAGGTTCCTGAATAATGACCACAGTGAAGGGACTCGGCAAACGTTGAAGCCCACAAATATGCTAATGTAAAACAGGAAAATATAAATAAATGCCAAAATCAGAGACTGTTTTATGAAGCAGTTTCACTGGGTTTGAATAGCTACAACAGAGAGCTTTGAAGCATAACACTTATAAGATGAATGAAGTTATGTTAGGAATGTATTATACAAAGATCTTATTGACAAGTACCTTTTAAAAAAAAAAGCCATTAAATATTGGCTTCTAATCTTGCATCCCACATGCCAGCTACAGTGCACCCTAATTGTAAGGCTCTCTCATCTACCGTTCTTGGAACCTGACTTCTAAACCCTACTGGTCTCTGTGATAAACATCTCACTTACAGCATGCACCTTCCACAGACCAATGCTTCAAGTAGCCGCCTGAGAAAGGCTATGATTTTGCAGAGTATGCATACTGTGAATGTTAGAAGCTGACACCATGCTGATTAGAATTGAAGAAAATTATTAAGTCCCTCAGAAAAAAACAATTAAACATTTTTTAAAAGTCTCCTGTGCTTCCCACACATCAATGAAAAGCCAAACAAAAAATCTGATGTAGGAACAAGTGGGATACTCATTCCAAATGATTGATGATAATGATTCAATAAATAGAATCTCTTGAACCCTGTTCTGTTGCTAACTAGTGCCATGCTATCACTATGGTTACTATTCTCAGCAGATCCTATGCATTCCCATCATATGTGAAAGTCAGGTTTTAATGGAAGCTTGGAGCCCAGTGCTGACTACTCAGCAGCAATTCTAAAACCTGGCATCTGAAGTTCTGAACTCAGACTACACTGTGAGGTCCTAACCCCATCAGCTGCTGGAGGAATTTTATCATTTAGAAAAGAGGATTCTACATTTTAAATTTATTATCTGACTTACTGTACAAAACATTAATGGTTGACAGCCCATTGAAAATAGGTGTAGCACATAGCATACCTGAAAAGCAGCAGATGCTAGAAAAGTCAGCTGGAGTGGGAGTGCTGTGCCCTGAGGTGGCACCAACTCACCACCACCTTTGATGTTCCCCTCCTAGTACTGCATTTTATTTTTAACTTGCTTCTTTCCATTGAAAAGGGCATAATCAAAAATTTCCGGCTCATATTTATCTCCCTTAAAGATACTCTAGTCCAGCCTATAAGGTTTTATCTACTAGAATTCCACAATGAATTTATTTCTGAAACTGTTCTCTCCAAGAATTATCAAAAAAGAGCTGATGCATTGCTCAGAATGAGAGTAAAATAAAATGAGGTCGCGCACACATGCAACCCTTCCCCATAAACCATGTACTCGGCCAGTCTGACAGCAAGTCATGCCAACACCTTATTCTGTTACTCTTCAGAAATAAGTTTTCATGTGCTAAAATAAAACACACTAAGAATTTCCAGATGGGAGATAATTTCAAGATGCATCTACATATTGTGGCCTAAAAATTTAGGATTGTCCCTTTAAAGTTACACAGATACAGAAATACATTTGGCTGGTGATATGCACAATGCCCTCTTGCTGTTTTTATCTTTCTGTGGGAAATAGGGCAGACAACAAGCAAGTCAGTGTTTTAGATCATACACCTCTGTGAAAGTGGTTGATATTTACCTTTGGTCAGTAACTCTGGAGCCACATCAGACATGTCCGCTCGGAAAAGCAAGTACTGCTGGGCCTGTATAAGAAGACCTGGAAAATCTTTTTGGATGGATGCAAACTGCTCAATTTTATTTTTCACAGATGCCAGCACCTGCCAAAATAAGAATGGTAAATTTTTAATACTATCCTTGAAATTATGGCCTGAAACCTCAGTCTCGCTCTTTCCAAATTAGAGACTGTTAACAATGCCAGTTGGGTAGTTAATTTCCAGCTCCTTGCATTGGCACAGTTAAAACATCAAACTAAACAGAGAGGTCCTCAAACAGGTAGGGGAAAGCAAATACACAGCAACAAACTGAAAAACAGGTAAACAAGGCACTAGAATTACTGGCAAAATTTGCATTGAGCATGAAATGAAGCATTGATGAAGTACCTGATATAATGACCGTACACTAGGCTGCAATACAATGTTGGTATTGAGCAGAAAGGAACGAAGAAGAGGTTGCGGGTAACTGGCCAGTTGAGTAATAATCCCAATGAGCAGCAAGTTAACATGCAAGGAATTCTCCAACATATTCTCCAGTTTTGACAGCACTACGCTGATAAATGGCCCTACAAGAAAAATGGGGGAAAAAAATCTTAAAATCAGGGGAATAAGCATTTGAAAAGGAATTTAAATCTCCATATCTGACTAAATCAGACTTCCCACATGCCAATTAAAAGCCAACAGGAAAAAAGCCAGGTCTGAACAGACAGAAGATGCAGCTTTGAATATATTTAATCTCTTGTTAACCCTACCATGAGCAGGGACACTCTGACTGGTTAGCCAATCAGTTGACATTCAAAGTGTATTAAGCATGCATAATTATTCTACCTCACATGTGCCAATAAAGATTTAATCCAGCATGTTATGTTCTATGGATCTACTCCCACTGAAGTTACTTGGAGTGCTTCCAAAGATTTCAGATGAAGCAGGGTCACGCTTCTTATTACCGTTCTAGCTTAATTCTACAGAAGGACTGGACAGGGTAAATTATGGGTAGGTTTTTCACATTATCATAATACATAGTGGTATTTTAGTGGGACTATAAAAATGCTGCTTCAAAACATAAAAAAACCCAACCCTGGACTAATTTGTATCACAACACAAACATTTTCTGCACTGCAAAAATTCACACAAAGTGCGGAAGCCATAAATATAGGCTATTGGTAGATGTAGGCTTTATCAGATTAATGTCACTTCTAAATAATAGTGTTGGTTTGTGTACACTTTTTACAGTATAGCCACTAAAATACAGAACTATTTACAATGAACGTACATATCCTTCATCGTAAGCCTGGCAAAGACTGCCAATATGAACATGAGTTAAGCAAATGAATATGGATTAGTACATACTGCTAAATGACAAAGCAGGTATGTAGCTAGAGACAGTAAAAAGACCAACAGGAAACAGTCTATAAAAGTTACTTAAGTATAAGGTTCAGCCCTGATCCAACTCTGGTTCCTCTGCACAACTCCCACAGTGTGAGAATACCAGAAAACCAGCAAACTCTCTCCACATGGGGATCCTTGACATGAAGGAATCCCTCGGTTGCACAAAGCATAGCCAACTTCTATACTACCTCCTGTGACCCATGCCATAGGAGGTATACCTGGGGGAAAGAACGTAACTGAGGTAACTGCACTCCAGCAAGCTCCTGCTGGCAAGCCAATCCCTTCAATGTCCTGGATAACAGGGTGCAGTTTACAACAACGGTGTAGGGCTGTTCTAAACTATGCTGGAGGCCAAAAGGAATCCCTGGGCAGCCCAGCAATCAAGGAACCAAACCATAAATAACTCCTTTGCAGCTCCACCCATCAGGCATAGGGCATGGCTGAGGATCAAAGACCACTCTGTTTTAGAACTACTGCTACCATGGATGCACAGTATGGCTGGGTCTACACTAGCTCTCTTCTAAAACACGTCTCACTACTGATATTGGTACAGCCCCACTGAGGAGAGCACAAGTGGAAGTACTAGTGTAGACATGGGTCCAGGGGTGTATTGCTTTTAACTACTATGTCACCCAACTCTAATTCACATAACATAGTGGTTAAAACACAGGGTTAAGGGAGTAGCCACCTCCCCAGCTATGGCCAACTGGTGGACCAGTAACAGTCGCAATAAGAAGTTGCAGCCCTGGCAGAAGGGGGTGGCTTCCCGAGAGGCCAAGGACTATTCTGTGTCAGCAGCAAAATGGCAGGAAACTGCCCAAGGAGCTACACCACAAATTCTGTGAAGACTGAGATGAGACTGCTGGGGGAAACCCCACATCCTGGATGTGCTTCCCTTCTCCAGTTCTCTGCGAACTAGAAAAAGATTGGACTCCCTATGGTGCTGCTACAAAGCCCGGGAGGACTATGACATAAGGATTTGAGGACAGTGAGATCTGAGCTGAAATGTCAATATGAGATTTTGGTTTGTAGCAAGCTGGGGTGTGAATCTATCTAATTTCAAAGCAGGGTAGATCAGAGTACACTAATGAATTGTTAATGCATGTCAGCAGGGTCCACATGGACAGTTAGTATGTGGCAAGCCAGTGAGGGGGTGGGGTAGATTCCCACCTCAGCAAAAGGCCAATGTATTTGTATGCAGCCCAAGGACAAGCGAGAAGGTTGAGCCACTTCACCGCTGGTTAAAACACCAGTGACTAATTTGGATCCTATCTACATTTGCAATACCATCAATGGAGGTGTCTTACAATATTTTGCTGAGATACATAAAGAGCCTTCACCCAACACTGCCTGCCTGGGATACATAAAAAGCCCTCATCCAGCACTGCCTGCATTATCTGATCATCCTGCCCCTTCCTTCTCTCACATTCATGGCGGCATTCTCACGAAAGCTTATGCTCAAATAAATTTGTTAGTCTCTAAGGTGCCACAAGTACTCCTGTTCTTTTTGCGAATACAGACTAACACGGCTGCTACTCTGAAACCTGCTGGGACACGACACTCCACTCTCCCTGCCCCACCCCCCGTGCAATGAAGGCAGCTGTACAAGAGGGTCCAAGAGAAGGTGTATCAAGGCTAACGATTCCAAGTCAGCCTTGGGATCTGAGCAGCGAAGGCTGAAGCCAGGCACTTACAGCAACAACTGAAAACCACCTCATGAGACTTGACCAGAATACATAGAAGGTCTCTGTCATATGAACAAATCGGGAAAAATAAAAGGTCCTCCAGAACCTTACTAGAGCAACAATCCGAGCAGCTCCGCAGGTGTTTATAAGCTTCAAAAGGAAAAACACAAACTAATTAGAACATTTTTAAAAAATTTTACACAGGTCTAATGCATGTGCCTGGAGATATGGGGGACTTACCCATAATAAAAGTTTATTTGCCACATATTTCTATTCTTGAAGTTTCCTTGTTTGGGTGGCATGGAGGGAGGGAGGTTTATGTTTAACGATCTTATACTGCAAATAAATAATAAAGGAACAGCCACCATTTTCTAAACCAAGAGTCCAGCATCAGTGCCACATCCATATGACAGCGTCTTTCTTTAGGTACAAGTCATGTAGTGGAGCAGCATGTCTACACACTGGTGGGATGTACTGGTGGTGGGAAACTTGGTTTTGACATTTGATTCTGTAGAACAAAGCTCCTTCCTGTAATAGCGCCCCATAACACTAAGTTGACACAGTCAAATAAGAGCCCTAGACCAACACATAATGTAATACTGGATCCAAATTATATGCAAAATACTATTTCTGTACAGTAACAGAGAGATGGCTGAAATGTCATTTGTATGAGTGATAGTGTAACCCCCATTGCAAAGTCAACTTTGCCAGTGTCTTCCCCACTCGGCACCAGTTAAAAGACCATTTGAAATAGAGTGAAGAGACAAAGAGAGAGAAACACGGCTTGGGAGGGGTAGTAGCAAAGCTTTGTTTGAAAGGAACTGAAAGGGAAGAAGAGGACTTGACACAGACAAAAAGGGATGTGACCAAAGTATCTGAACTATGTTTGACAGGGAATGACAGGAGACTGACAGAGCCAGATGTGACCTAGGGACATGAGGGGAGCTTCTGAGTGCCTGGTACAGAGAACTCATCACAGCAATAGTGGCAAATGCACTTGAAAACCAAGTTGTCTTCCTCAAATACTTAAAGACTGAACACCAGGCCTGCTGGCCACACTTCAAAGGCTGCATTTCAATGACTAAAAGATTAATGACAGGTTTCAGAGTAACAGCCGTGTTAGTCTGTATCCGCAAAAAGAAAAGGAGTACTTGTGGCACCTTAGAGACCAACCAATTTATTTGAGCATAAGCTTTCGTGAGCTACATGCATCCGATGAAGCTCACGAAAGCTTATGCTCAAATAAATTTGCTAGTCTCTAAGGTGCCACAAGTATTCCTGTTCTTTTTGAAAAGATTAATGTATCCCGAGTTATTTAGAGTCAGCCCTTACAGGCTTTGCTGTGGGTAAGCATGCCTGAATACATTGTGTCCTCCCAATGATTTAGATATAATTCTGTGGCCAAATTTCACTGGATACCTGGCACAAGAGAAAAACACAAGAGTGAGGGTGCCATTGACATTTGAAAAGCAAGGTGCCTAGACCTGTTTGCAGAGAGGTGCATGCAGAAATGGCAACAGCGCTGCCACCTGGTGCACAAAAGCAAAATAGCAGCAAAAGGTGGCAGAGCAGCCTATCACTTTTCTGTTATAAGAAAAGGAGTACTTGTGGCACCTTAGAGACTAACCAATTTATTTGAGCATAAGCTTTTTTTTCTGTTATGTTGCACATGCTGCTGTATAGGCTGCAAAGCAGTTGCAGAAATGGGACATTTTAAGTGCACTCATTCTATTAGGTCAGATAGTCCAACCACTCACAATGGCAGGATTGTTCCCTGGAATGATGTGGTTAGGACAGTTGTTTGGTGCTGGTCTTGTTCTAAAATTTTATAACATAAACTAAACAAATATGAAGGTCAAAAACTTCAGCCCAAGAACAGCACCACACACTTTCATGGCATAGTTATATTGTATCACAGTGAATAACATTAAATTTAACAATGCCATATTAGGTTACTGTTATTCATGTTACCCCTCTGACCTTCATATTGGTTAACAACTCTCTTCTCTGCTGATTGACTGTTGTACCAGCCTCTCCTGCCATCTCTCTCATGGCCACGAATGCCCTTTCCTTTCCTTTCTCCTTCTACCATGACCCCCCCACTAAAAGGGTTTTTTAAACAAACCAGAAATCCCATGGACCTAACCCTGATGTTCACTGCCATCATATTATTCTTCTGCTTGTGCATGTTCCAACCCTTTTCCTTTCTCACTGATTTAGATTGTCAGCTCCTCAGTTAATGGACTGTCTCTTATTCGATATTCGTACACTGCCGGTTACAATGGGATCCTGTTCTTGGTTGGCTCTGATAAACCGTAACAAACACGGTAAAAGAACATCAAAAAGAAATTAATTAATGAGGAAATTCCACCTGTAAATGCAGCATTCTGGCTCCTTGCAGGATGGTTGGAAAACGTATCCTCCTTTGGCCCAAATGGAGACAGTATACTTTCTGTAGAAGGAGTGTCCACTGAAAAATTTTCAAAGTCCTCCTCCTCTTCCACTGGAGATACAGGATCAGGTGTCAACAATTTCTGCTCCTCTAACAAGCCTGTTGTGTTAGAATCCAGTTCTTCAATAATTTTGTCATATTGTGCAATAAATTCCTCACTATCTGGGCTCAGCAGCCTCACATTTGAGTTTTGATCTGCTTCTGGAGGAGAGAGTTTCAGCTCTAAGTCTGGTTGTCGGTCTGTTTCAACAGCTTTTTGGTTTATTTGTTCCTTTGTTACATCCTGAAGCAAACCTGAATTTTTCCTATTGTGTTCCTTTAAGTCTGTGTCTGGATGTGAGTTTTTCAAAGACCTCCTAATGGGCTGACTTTGAATTGTGTTTTGAGATTCAGTTGCTGTACTTAAAGTTTCCTCCTTGGAATTGTCATCATCCTGAGTATCCTTTTGGGCACATAACCTGTAAACCATGACATCATCCTGAAAATCTGATTCTTCTATGTAAGACCCTCTGACAAGCATGATTGCATTCTTCTTCATCTCTTGAATGTGCTTCGGTGGCTCTGCAGGCAGTTGTCTCTCTACAGTCCCTAGATCATCAAAAGGCTGGGGTGAGCTCACATCAGACCCAGGAGAAATCCCTGTGTCGTAGCTGTCATCCCATTCCAGCTCCATCTGTATCTTCTCTCCCAATGGAGTAATTTGAGAAGAACTGCAGTTACTGGAAGTTTGCTGCTGGAGTCGGAACATAGGGTGCTCCACACTTTTACTATTCTCCTCTGCCAGCGTTTGGATAAAGGTGTCTGGGTCAGGGTCTTCCCCATCATACGGGGCAGACCAAACCCGGCAGTCTTTCATGCAGTGGAGAATGATGGCTTCAGCTTCCCACAGGTACTGCAGGTAACTGATGTCCACAGCTCTTCCATATTTCACAATGCACATAGATTTGCAATAGCCTACGGAAGAACCTGAGATAAAACAAGAGTATTCACAATATGATAAAAAAAATCCAGCTGAACTCCCTACAATAATGCAAGGCAGCTGCTAAGAAGGGCAGGAAGATACTTTTGCCTCAAGCACCCAAAGGGGATGGGTAACCAAGGCACAGCGGTTAAGAGATTTGCTCATGGCTGCTCATGACTGTGTCTAATCCGGAGTTAGCATTAGAATTCAGGAATTCTGAGAGACCGGCCTGGAGCCCAATCCATCAGACCACACTGCCCCTCGAGTAGCATAAGATGTAGCCACATCTTCACACATGTTTTTGTGAATGTACATCCAACGTGGATATTCTTTACAATACAGATTTGATAGAGCTGCCATGTGGGAGTAGTTAAATGCCGGCCCTCTCCAATCCAGAATAATTACATATTGTTTGTGAAATCTTAATAGTAAATACACTTTTTTGATATTAATTATGTTCACTTTCCCACCCTAGGCTGAGGATATTCCAAAGCAAACCCTCCACAGCACAGTGCACGCCCAATGTTTACCTGCATTGGGTGTGGCCTTTGTCCATAGGATGTAATCTTTTGATTGGTTTTCAACAGTCAGTGTAATCCCAGTAGAGCAGCAGACTGGGGTCAAAGCAAGCAGTTTAGCAGCAGATACTGAATAACAGTCTCTTTCTCTCACAGCCCATCTTTGACTCAACATCATGTGATTACATGGGATCAGATATCTGAAACAACAAAGCCAATCATTACATGCCCACAACAACATTCTGTGTATTTCAAGGAGAATAGCTATGTGGAAAATTCTCCTCTCATCTCCCTAAAAACAGCTTTCTGAGGTAGGTCTAGAGTCTGATGAGTTACACTGGGCTCCAGCGTAGAGGAAGGGAAGGACAGTCACTCCTGGGAGGAAATGCCTGTGGGCATAGTTACAGGAAACCACTAGACCAGGGTTGTGTCAAAGCATTGTCCTAAATGTGGGCAGGGAGGGGCATATGCCAGAGGGCGCCAGTTTGTCTGGATCTATTCAGGATGAGTTAGGGAGGAAGGGTTGGAGAGCCCAGTCCACAGAAAGAGCCAGCACATAAATGCAAATTGAGGCAGTGCATGTCAGGGAAGGGACTAGCAACAAAGAAGTCCAGCTGGGTCATTTTGTTGGGAAGAATCAACATATAAAGCTCTTGGGCACAGGAGGGATTATGGAAGGACGAGGAGCAGACATAGCACATACTTGCATTCTGTTTCTTAGAGTGATTTAGGGGTTAACTAGATTGGTGTTTTATCATTTAAAGTAAATCAGTGTTTAATAACAAGCGATTCCCCAAATAAATAACACAATACAAAAATAAATGTAGCACTCACCTCTGTTAAAAGTCAGTGGAGGAATCGTACCAAATCTGAGTTCCCCACAAAGTTATATAAGGATCTGGTTCAGTCCCTACTTATGTACCCACATACACCAGCACGGACTGGATGGGATCCCAGTGTAAGTTGTATTGGAGGGAGGGGAAAGAGACACGGAGAGATAGCTAATACCCCTGGATTTCCAATGGAGTTAATGATCTGATTAGGTCACTGTTAATACATCTGAGATTAATTACCAGTGACCTGATTTGATCCAATCTAATCTAATTCTAACAGACATGCCAACCACACTTGTTAAAATAACAACATAAAAAGAATAAAGAAAAGCAGCTAGAAAAATAAAAAAAAATGTAAACTGAGGGGACATTGCACAATTAAAGCAGCATGTCCTTCTACCCCGGGGTACAACAGGTCAGGAATTTATCTGAGAAATTCCTGGGCAAGGGGGAGTAAAAAGGTTTGGAAGCTACAGAAAAGTAAATATAGCCCTGCTTCATAGTGTGTTTAGCAGATTATAATTCATGAGAGAAAATGTTCAGAAGAGAAAAAATATTATAAATTTAGAACCAGGGAACATTTGGAGGTGGTAAATAATCCGTGGATTCTGTTCCCCCACTTTTCTACAAATAAATTACAACAAAAGAATATGTGAAAACCAGTGTCTCCCATTGTGCCTGGGTATGATAGGATATATAAACTGTGCCTCTCTTGGTTTGGTATATTTGTGTCAGGAACATATATGTTTTATCCCTATATTTGTTTGCTTGTTCCTTTTAAGAGCTCTAGCTGTACATCCAGAGACTTCTTACTGGAGAATTAGAATTAGTTTTTACCTTAAAACTAGCTGTAACATCACATCTTCACAGTGTAAGCCGATGAGTGTTCTGAACAATGCCAAAGATACCACACAGAGCTGGAAAATGATATACACAGTCAGTTTTTGATCTGGCAATTGTAACGTTCCTCCCTTCCATGAGGTAAATTTAATTCTGCATTATAGAAAGCACAGCCTGAATTTAGTGCTTTATCAGAGACTGAAAGTATGCTTATTTCATTCTGTCAGCACCCGGTAGGATTTTATTAGATGCCTGAAGTTATACATACACCAAAATATATTTTTATAAAATGCACACAAATCAGAAATTTGCTTTTTAAGAAGCTGAAGGAGAAAAGTTTGCAAGAACTGAAAAGTGAGAAATAGCACACCTTTCAAAGGAATTTTGCTAATTTAGACAATTCAATTTAATTTGGTTTCAGCAATAAAGGGACTCTGGCCAACTCAATGGATAAAGCATAGCTTTTACCTCTGACACACGTAGTTTGACCAGCTGAAGGCCTTTGCTGGAAAGAGTTCAGTTATCTCACAAACTAAGGATATGTCTACACTAGAGCTGGAAGGTGTAAATTCCAGCTCAAGTAGACATACGTGCACTAGCTCTGAAAGCTGGTGTGCTAAAAATAAAAATGAGGACTAGCTGCCTCAAGTACAATCCTATCCAAAATGCTATGTACTTGCGGTGGCTAGCCTGGCCCACCACTTGCACCAGCGCAGGTACACTTCCAGTTTTAGTACCCTGCCTCAATCACAACAAGCACGGTATGTCTCCAGCTCTAGTGTAGACATACCCTGAGAGAAACCTCTTTTGTGAAAGCAGCATGTTTCCTGGTAATGAATGACTGACCCTATATGTATAGGAGAGGCTAATTGTTTATTTATCCAGGACAAAAGTGTTGAGGTTGCTGGGCAGGGTGAAAGTTATTTATGATGTTGCAGTACCTATTTTAGTTTACACTAGACTGAAGGGAGATTGGGAACTTGAATTTCAAAATTACCTTCGCTGGCATTAAATTACACATATGTGCTTTAACCCTTCTAAAAACGTTCACTGTCTTGGTGAAGAACTACAGAGGTGTCCTTAAGTTGGGCAGGTAAAAGAACATTAGTCCAAGGAAAGAGGACAGTACCTGACTCTTGCTCAGAGCAATTAACAGACTCCTGCTGGAAATCCTTATCACATGACCCATTTAAATGCCACCTGTACCTGAAGAAGAGCTCTTTGTAGCTCAAAAGCTTCTCTCTTTCACCAACAGAAGTCGGTCCAATAAAAGATAGGTACAAGTATAAGGTAGGTTAGGTACTATCAGTAATATTGGAAGCCAACAGGAAGAGACTAGTCAGCCACAACCTTGTGACTGTGTAGGGAGTTGGAGAAGGCGGCAGTGAGAAAATAGATGAGGAGATGACAGGAAAGTGGGATTCTTCCCAGAGGTGGGTAGGTTGAAGGACAATTGCAGGAGCCTTAGGAGGAAGTCAAGTCTTTGCAAAGGTAGAGAGAGGGATCGGTAGTTAGGGAGAGAGTTGGGGTGTTTTGGATATAAAGGGAAGAGATTGGTGAGGAGCTCTCCTTGTTTCCTTATTGTGATTTGTGGAGAGTTGTTCTAAGTGGTTTAAGGGTTCAAAATAATGATTGCTAAAGAAAATCAAAATGACTTCCTTAAATGTTATTGAAGGCACATTATTTACACTAAATACCGTGTTATTTATAGAGAACCATCTCTTGCATTCCTAATAGAGTTGTAAAGAAAAATGAGAAAGCAACATGCATATGAATAAGCAGAGACAGTCTATTTGTATTTCATTAAAGGAAAACAAGTATGTAAAATGTACTAGCAGGAAACAGAAGACAGTTTTTATATGTATGGATAGGTGGCCAAAAGAGTTGTGAATTTAATCCCGTCAATTATTAAGAAGTCTTTTCAGCAATAATAATGTGTGCAGCTTTTGTTCTATGGAAGCCCACAAAAAGCTGCAATTCTAGCGTTTGTACTTGGCCAAGCTATACTGGAGAAAACTCATTGAGTATCACAGAACCATTCTGGCCAAGGGCTCAGGAGTTGCTCAGGGCTGGAGAATTCTTTACAATACCCATTTCCTTTGCCTGTGGAACAGTAATTATGATTAGCCAAGATAACATCTGCATTTTTTTGTCTACAAAAGCTGTTTATGAGTTTTCAGAGTTAATCCATCTCTGAAATGCAATAACAGCAACATATATCCATAGATGCATGCACTCCCATTCCTAAATACACTTCTAGTCCAAGGTGCTGTCCCTACTACACAAATGTAATGCACATACTGATTCTCTGGCTTTACCTGAACTTATACCACACGTTACTCTACAGCAGTGCTACTCAAAGTGGTGGTGCGAGCCATCGGCTACCGGTCTGCGCGCACATTGGAAAAAAAAATTGCCGGTCCCCCACATCAGATAGCTTGAGAAGCACTGCTTTACAGTATATTCATCAACGAGCTACCTACAGTGATATGCTGTGAATATTTTAACAAGGGGCTGTCTGCAAATTTGTAGCCTTAGCCTGTGATAAACCCGGTGTACTAAAGGTGCCTATGCTGCAGAGAAGAGGGAAATCTGATTATTTAAATACACAGCCAAACAAAACAAATGAACAAAATTGCTCTTATAAACAAAGAAGCAGGCCACATAACTGGTAAACAAACATGCTGGAAAGGTTTATACTTGGTTCCTGAAGAACAAACTGGGCATATTGACAGTGCTCAACTGAGGTAATTTGGAAGCGGGGTGGTTATAATGATCTCATAGTTTTGGGGCTGGGTAGTTTCTTCTGTGAAACTTATTTGAAAATGCCTGTTACTTGGTGCATTCTGAGCTATTTCATAAGGCCACCAAAATTGTTCTTCTTGAATATTTGTATAAATCTCAGGGATGAGTTATCTATGGCAGAAATAATTTAGCAGTATCTAGAGTGGGAATAACTCCACTAGAGGCAGGTAGATTACTCCAAACTTACTTTCTATTTTGTGGCAGAAGTTAGGCTCCTAGAAGCCCCACAGTCTCTCCTTCAACCACTCTACAGCTATCTCACACACTCCCAAACTGCTCATCACTATGGTGGCTAAGTGACAACAATTACAGCAAAACAACATTATGTTTAGATCACAGAGTCAGGTACGAAAGGAAATTCGCAGTTAAAGGTTAAACAGAGCCATAGCAAATACAGATATGATGAAGCTCCCACTAAATCTCTTAACCCAAATTCATCAAAAGCACACATGCTCCCCTCCTGCTTGCCTTACCTGAAATGGAGTGTTGATTCGGCTCGTGAGCGTATCTAGGATGTGCACGTTCTCATGCTGGTGCAGCAGGATGAAACGCAAGAAAATCTGGAGTAGAGCTGGCTCTGAAACACTGCGCAAAAAGAGATCCAGGTATGCAGTTGTAGTCATTACCTCCTCCACAGTCACCTACAAGCAAATATATGGTAAGTGTACATCCTACAAACACCACCACTGTGCTTACATTATGTGTGCCTTCTGCAGTAACACTGTACACACGATACACTATAATAAGCACATTTTGTGCATTTTGCTTTTAAGTATGTGGAATAGAAAGCCTCTAACTTATTCAAAAATCAAATATTTTTGTTCTTATTTCAATGATTTGATTAGTTAAAAAAAGTACCACCCCCCTCTATCTGCTGAAATACAACACTGGTTCACAAATAACTTGAGACCCTCATCACCATTCCTCTACCACTGGGCTGGCTCCATTCTCCTGCCACTGTTCAGATTTGCATTCAGGAAATGGTAAAGCCATTTATTTGGTATTCAGATGCATATATTGAATACCAGCATATGCCTCACCCCCAAAAAGGAACAATAGTAAAGAGCAAACAATGAATGAACCAACAAAACAGGATATAGGGGTCTTTTTAAAAGAAAAAATCCCTCCACCAAGTTGTATTTCTTCTTTACCTTTCCACTTCTTATTTTCCAACAGCACTTTAACCCCTACTCCAAATCACACACACACACACACACATAGATTGATGCACAAAGTTTCCTACCAGATTTCAGGCCCAAGTATTTGGTATTCATACATCAAAATTTATATTGCATGTTACTTTGCTAATGCAGGGTTTTTTTAAGCTTATCTATTGACAATATGTGCTGGCAAGGCACAAAGCATTCCAAAGGCTGCCTCTGCATCATGCACTGATGCTGCAAAGTCAGCTTTTTAAAAATAGCTACATATGAGCCTAATAAGCTTACATGTACAAAGATAAATCCTTACATATAGGAATCTGTCTATAAGAAAAGGGGCATTAAATATCTTTTATTTACCACTCTTAACTGGATGCATGAAAAGACAGATTTTATTAAAAAAGAATCAAAGCTGTCACTTAAAAGCTAAGAGGATTTAGAAAGTACTCAGAAGGGCAGCATTTGCGTAACATGCTGTAAATATTAAAATCCCAGTTCCATTATGCTGCATGTTAGCTATGCGCACAGGAATGTCACATTGCAGATGCCTTTTAACACATTTTTAGGATCACCTTAGGAAACAATCTTGTTTCCACTAGTGACAGAACATAGGAATATTGCGTAGTCTTGTGAACTGTGTAGAAATGTGGAAGACTCCAAGTACCTCTAAATTTGGAGGTGGTCATTCACTCTCTTTTTGAAGCTTTATCCTGTTATTTACACACTGCCTCTCTGCCTGATGTTAATAGTTCAGATAGTTTTGACTACTAACTCCCTTTTTCATTAGGAAAAAAAAGATACTGTACTAATGCAAGCTGGTCATAAATCCTTCACCAAGAAAAAAAAAAAATCAGGAGTTCATCTTCTTGGTCTGTTACCATAAACTTAGCCTGAAACAAACCTCAATCTCAAACATAATAAAAAAGGAAGAGAATATAGGACACAAAAGAGGAAATTCATGGCCACAGCCTATACTCTGCATCCCATTCTCACTGGCTCTGCAGACTCAGTAAAACCAGCTACACATTAGTTGAATGTGATTTATTTATGAACTAGGAAAGTATGCTCAGCAATGATGAAGCAGAGATGAAGACATAGCTCATGCACCAAGAATCCTACACTCTAACTTAGGTGCTAGCAGTACAGTTTATGCATTACACACACACACACAAAAGTTAGAAGATTATTAAGATTGGGAAGTCAAGCACTCAATAGTTAGTAAATGCCAAAATTAAGATTGCCTCGGCAACCTTAATTCAGCCCCCTTCTGCTTATGCATTATGACACAGTCTTTGATTACAGTACTGATGGAATATATGGGCCAAACTTGTTAACATAACCCAGTCACTATCCAATATCAAAGAGTGTTAAATAAGGTTCGGGGTTCAGTAGCCTGTACAGTACCATGGCAAATGCACCATTAACAATCCTTTTAACATTTTATTGAAGATACAGAAGACAAGGAAAAACAGTTAAAGCATCTGAAATATACAGTATTAAGTGAGACTTTCACTTTTAACAACATCATTTGTTCCCTTTCCCTTTAGCTGGAGAGAGTTTTGTTTGACAGTCCCTTAGATGGTAATAAAGATGCTAATAACTGTCCTTTTGGGAAAAAAGAGTAGTTAGTTGAGTTGCTGCTGTTAAAGTCTGATCTCGTTTCATCCCAGGCGGTGACTGGGATTTAGTCTGGTGGAGGTGGCAATGTTCTCCCTGGCCTAGTGTGCTCAGGACATTTCTTATAATTAGGACAAATTTGAGAACTGGTTGGGGTCTGGGGTATCAGGAGATGGTGGGGTAGCAGCCATCATGATGACATTTTCTTCAGTAGCTTCTGTCTGTCCACCCCCCATCCACCAAGTCTCTTTAAGGACACACAAAGAGAATGGTGGGTTATAGTCTTAGCCTTCACAACCTCCTCAGGCAAGGAGTTCCACAGGTTGACTGTGCGCTGAGTGAAGAAGAACTTCCTTTATTTGTTTTAAACCTGCTACCCATTCATTTCATTTGGTGGCCTCTAGTTCTTTTATTATGGGAACCAGTAAATAACTTTTCCTTATTCACTTTCTCCACACCACTCATGATTTTATATACCTCTATCATATCCCCCCTTAGTCTCCTCTTTTCCAAGCTGAGAAGTCCTAGCCTCTTTAATCTCTCCTCATATGGGACCCGTTCCAAACCCCTAATGATTTTAGTTGCCCTTTTCTGAACCTTTTCTAATGCCAGTATATCTTTTTTGAGATGAGGGGACCACATCTGGACACAGCATTCAAGATGTGGGCGTACCATGGATTTCTATAAGGGCAATAAGATATTCTCCGTCTTATTCTCTATCCCTTTTTTAATGATTCCTAACATCCCGATTGCTTTTTTGACTGCCGCTGCACACTGTGTGGACTTCTTCAAAGAACTATCCACGATGACTCCAAGATCTTTCTCCTGATTAGTTGTAGCTAAATTATTCCCCATCATATTGTATGTATAGTCGGGGTTATTTTTTCCAATGTGCATTACTTTACATTTATCCACGTTAAATTTCATTTGCCATTTTGATGCCCAATCACTTAGTTTTGTGAGATCTTTTTGAAGTTCTTCAGTCTGCTTTGGTCTTAACTACCTTGAGCAGTTTAATATCGTCTGCAAACTTTGGCACCGCACTCTTTACCCCTTTCTCCAGATCATTTATGAATAAGTTGAATAGGATTGGTCCTAGGACTGACCCTTGGGGAACACCACTAGGTGTCCCTTTCTGTTCTGAAAATTTACCATTTATTCTTACCCTTTATTCCCTGTCTTTTAACCAGTTTTCAGTCCATGAAAGGCTCTTCCCTCTTACCCCATGACAACTTAATTTATGTAAGAGCCTTTGGTGAGGGACCTTGTCAAAGGCTTTCTGGAAATCTAAATACACTATGTCCACTGGGATCCCCCTTGTCCACGTTTGTTGACCCCTTCAAAGAACTCCAACAGATTACTAAGACATGATCTCCCTTTACAGAAACCATGTTGACTTTTGCACAACAATTTATGTTCTTCTGTGTCTGACAATTTTATTCTTTACTATTGTTTCAGCTAATTTGCCCAGTACTGACGTTAGACTTACCGGTCTGTAATTGCCAGGATCACCTCTAGAGCCCTTCTCATATATTGGCTTTACATTAGCTATCTTCCAGGCATTGGGAACAGTAGCTGATTTAAAGGACAGGTTACAAACCATAGTTAATAGTTCCACAATTTCACGTTTGAGTTCTTTCAGAAGTCTTGGGTGAATGCCATCTGGTCCTGGTGACTTGTTACCATTAAGTTTCTCAATTAATTCCAAAACCTCCTCTAGTGACACTTCAATCTGTGCCAATTCCTCAGATTTGTCATGTACAAAAGATGGCTCAGGTTTGCAACCTTAAGAGGGTTCTTTTAACATAATTTGTGTGTGTAATGATATCTATAATATGTATTATATAAACTTGCCTGAGGGAGCCCAGCCCACCACCTAGCAAAAGCAAAAGATGCTGCTGTTTGGCAGAAATTACTCAACTACATGCCATGGGTTCTACCGCCAATGGCTTGGGAAAAGGAGCCATCAAGGTGGCAACTGGATTTTTCAAACTAGTTTATCAGTACTCTGTGTATCTCCTCTTCATCTCACATTTTTTTGCTTTTGTTTTCTTTCATGCTATTTGTGACAGTTGGTGTCTCTGTCCTATACGAATTACTTTCTCTGAAAACCTTGGGAAATGAAATATTGTATTCTATTTATGTTATAGGACCAGAACCGGCTCTAGGCACCAGCAAAGCAAGCACGTGCTTGGGGTGGCACAATTCCAGGGGCAGCGTTCTTCCGGCCACTTTTTTTTTTTTTTTGCTTGGGGGCAGAAAACCTAGAACCAGCCCTGTATAGGTCAGTTAGCCTGGAAACTTGGACTCAGTTCATTTGCATGGCTGATCCTGAAGCAGTTTTTCTTAAGACATATCAAAAACAAGGAAATTAATTAAATTTTCTGCAGACTACCGGCTGGTTCCCTTGCCTTCAATTAAATGCCTTTAATGCTAGGACTGTTTTAGAAGCAGGTTAGACAAACACCTGTGAGGGATGTGTCCTTCGTTTGACCCTTTGAGCGCACTTCTGTCCCTGTTATTTCATTAGTTGTCCCCCGAAATCACTTGGCTTCCAGGTCCTGTGGATCCTCCCCTCAGGCTGGAGGGGGGGAGGAAGGGTCCTTTAGCAGTGGGCAGGAAGAAGCACGTCCACTTTCTGGATCCTAATAGGATTAAATGTCTTTGGGAGAGGGATTTTGGGAAGTGTGTAAATCCTTTTTATTAAATGCAAATTAGTATTCAGGTAAACACCAAGAGTACAAGAAAAAAAAATCTAACAAAATAAGAACAAAATCATTTACGCTACAACAAAGATGAATCCTGATTGGAGAAACACATTGTTCTATTCCACACGGACACCAAGATAATGGGCCCCCCTACAT